GTTCTTCCCTTCTCAATTTTCGGCGTCTGCTACCAATCTGTAATTTCCCTTTACTCTATTTCTATATTCATCTCACTGTTACTAGAAAGTTGGAATCTCCTTTCTCTTCAATTTCTCGTAAGATACATGGATCACGTACTTGTATTGATTTGTTGTTCTCACGCTGATCTTATTTTTCAGTCGATTTTCCCGTCTAAAGTTACCACTTCAAGAATCCAGATCTGAGTGTGCAAGAACCATCGTTTGCATTTGGATAACATTGATTTGGGTTTTGAAGTGCTTTAAGGAAACTGGGGTCCCAAAAATCTGTACCTTTTGTCGAATGACGACTGGTGTGGCTTCAATTGCGGAGATTTGGATGACTGGGTTACTGCTGTAGTAGAGGAAGTTTGACAATTGGTTTCGATTTGTTTGAGGAAGTTGTCTGGGAGGACTAGGTTTTCGTGAAGGAGTTTGTTGGGTCGACATCATGTTCTATGGTGCGGTGGTATGGGACCCTTGGCTTATTGTTGCTCAAATTGTGTGTCTTCAATGTTTGTACTATATCACCCTGGGGTTGCTCTTGTCGATACTTGTTGGCACGCGTGTGTCTCGGATGAGTCTCGTGTATTTCTTTGACTATGTTGCGATTACCACCTCTACCGTTACTGGTTGGTGTGTTATTGCTTCATTTTTGCTAAGCTCAGTTGCAGGGTAATTGTTCTTTTTCACCTTAGTAGTGTTTCGTGTTTTTTAACTTACTGGTTACAAGATTGTATTCATTATGTATTTATTCATTTGATTGCTTCTTTGAAGTTTCTGAATGAACCTTTAGCATTTTGTAGCCATGCATCTAGCATATATTCCTCTTTCTTTCATTATTTTCTGTTATGCCTCTAAGCTTATAAATGAATGTTCATTCTTAAAGCCGTTCTAATGCTTGTTTTCCGTGTGTTGAACTGGTTGTGCTGTATTCTAGAGTAAGGAAAGAAACAAAAATTAAGGTTGGGACCTTTGAGATAGATGTGTCTTTAATTTGAAATTTTAAGTTCTTTTTCTTTCAATGCTTTTAGAATGTTAAAAGGCGAGATTGATTTGTAAATTAGACCCTGTTTGGAATCTTACAAAATAAGATAATTTGTTTTTTTTTTCTAAATCTAGTGAGTTAACTGTTTTATATTTAGAAATTCTGTCCAATGTTGTGTTTCTGTTTATTATTTGTAGTGGAAGGATTGAACAAAGGAGGCATTCTTAGCTGTTTGGTTACGGCTTCAATGTATTATTTGCTGCAATAATGTTTTAGCCATCGTACTTATCCCACTGTTTTTTTTTTATGCAGGTCGATATATATGTTTTATTTGATTGAAAGATCACGAAAGTGTTTGGATTTTTCGGCCACACTCTACATTGTCCATCTCTTTATATGCATTGTGTATGGTGGTTGGCCCTCCTCTATAACGTGGTGGATTGTGAATGGTTCTGGAATTGCAGTGATGGCCTTGCTTGGTGAACGTCTGTGCATGAAGCGGGAACTCCAAGAGATATCATTAACACGATTTCGTTCAAGTAAGAATTTCCTCCTGCTATGCTTAGCTGGCTAACTGGACATGTATTGTTTAAAGATTTGTTTTCTGATGTTATATTTTGTATGTTGTGCCCCATCTTTCTTCTATTTTGTGCTTAATTTTTTTAGAAACCTGAATATATGTTGAGGCTGTCAAACTGAATTTGTGTTAGGTGAGCATTTAAATTCTATATGTATGTTGTTTAGGAAGTTCTTATTTTCTTTCTCTTCTTACCTTTTGTCCTTTGGAAAATTATGTTTGGAAGGCAAAACCTTAATCTATGCATTAGGTTTTATGTTCTCATTTCTGTTTGCGTATCATGTTGCATTAGTTTTTAGGTTTTATGCTATGCTCTTTGTGAGTAGCTCGCATGATCTAGAGCTGGGGACACCTAGGGAGAGCAGTGGAGTTTGATTAATAGCAGTATGCTCCCTGTCTTCTTAAAAACAAAAGGAGTTGGATATAGTGTAAGAGGCTAGTCTTTTACATTTAGTAGCTGACCGTTGTTTGAGGAGGATTGCCTTCGATGGAAGATCCTTGTCAGACCCACTCTCCCTCCCAAAATAATCAGAGCTCTCTTCAATACCAATTTGAATTAGAGCATCTATTCTCCAATCTGATTTAAGGCTGAAATAAAAAGTTGTGAAAATCTGGTGATAGAATTTTAAATTGATGAAAGACCCTTGATGAATAGTATGGTACATATTACCAAATGACAATTCAATAAAACTCTATAGTTTCTGAGTCACCACCATATGACACATGTCAAATTCTAGAATATTTATATTCTATTAGGATACTGCCAATTTATATTTTGTTGTTACATTCCCTTTTCATCCTGTTTTGTAATGGGCAATGTGACAGCCTCTTGGCTCATGATCCACCACAGGTGTAAGAATTCCCTGTAGCCATAGATAGTACTTTTAGTAGTGAAAGAAGGGGGAGAAGAAACCTTAATCTTTCGGGAGCTTCCCCTTGCTTGAAAACGGTCACAACAGAACTATTTTTGATATTATTGAAAGATCCTTCACCCAAACCTCCCTCTGAAATTCGCCTGCAACTTCTCCACCTCCCCCTTTCACTGTCTCCTTTGAGGCCGTTGGAGTTTGAGATAGGTAGGTCAAAACCAAACAAGTGCCTCTTTGTTTGCACCAAGCCTCCAGATCGTGCTCTAAACCAACACCTCCAATTCTGGCCAACACCATGGAGCCACCACCTGACCCTGCCGACTGCCATGTCAGCTCCTCAAGCATCAAACTTTCAAATTGAAACCCAGCCATCTAGGCAGCGTTGTTCTCTACCCAGCTCAGCGGCAAACAGTGAAGGCAGAGAGAAGCAAGTAAACCCCACACCGTTGCAAATCCAAAATCCAGCAAGAATAAAAACCGAAAAACACAGCTTTATCTAAAATCTGAACTCAAGTTAACAAAACAACAAATGTGTATGATCAAAATCACACATTTAATTCTAGTTCAATAAATAATAATTATAATAATGAATGTTTTGTGCAAATTTTTCACCAAAATTGAGCAATAAGGGTGGACAGAGGTGGGGTTGGACATGACACTGGCAGTGAGGTAGTAGAGGGCAAAGAAAGAGATCTAATTTGTGGGTTCCCATGCAGAGGGAATAACTGGAAAAGAGACATACACGTGAAGATTAGCCCATGCAACAATAAGAAATGCTTCATCCTTTTAACCTCTTTTGGGTAAAGAGGAGCCGATATATTTTAATATTTAGTAAATATAAGGTCTGTTTACGTAGACATTTTTCTGAAAATTATGTTAACTTGTAAATCTTTTAAAATTTATTAATTTATATTTTACTAGAAAGAAATAGATCCATACTCTAATTGTAGGTTGGAGTGTGGGGGGTATCCTATTGCACACTTTTAAAATTTGCATTCTTTCTGAGTAAACACCCCTCCGGAACTAGGAATTTTCATTATATAGACACTAGCGAAAGACAATGTTTTGCCTATCTGCCCATTTTTTATTTTTTGCATAAATTATCAAATTTAATTTCTTTTATCAGTTTAATATGTTTAATTTGATGTGGGAGTCTCAAAAAGTGTGGTAGATGTTTTGGGTGCAGTTGAAGGATACAGTAGTCTAACAAAATATGCATACCAAATGAGGGTATTCTCCTTATTATAGATTATAGAAGAAGATTATTAATTTATTATAGACTAGAGAATTAGAGGCCCTTCATACCTTCTATATTTTTAAAGAGTGGAAATAAAACAAGACAGAGAGAGATAAAGAATAGAATAGTGGGAAATAAATAGTGGTTTACCAAAGTGGTTTTTTGGGGGTATAACAAGGCACAAAAATGTGTACTCCAAACCTTGTAATCATTTTATATTTATTATAAATATAGATTGTCGTTTGTAGATAATGGCGTGTTAGAGAGCAGTCCGTTTTGTATACTGTCTAAAAGATTAATACTGTCTTACTTCCTTGCAGATGTTTGATTGGCTGAATACATTTTTCAAAAAAGAAGTGCTGCAGGATGGTAACCACTTTTGCTTCTATATATTGGATCATTTACGAGATGCAGCCCAAGAAGTGAATAGTTCTATTCTGCCGTTGAAAGACCTACATTTCCATTTAATTCTTTAGTTGCAATAGAAATGAAACATATATAACCAGACGAGTTTAGGTACATAATTTTCAGGAATTACTGGAAGTCTTAATGTAATTTATTTATATTCTATTTTGATTTTCCAACCCTTTGGTGTTGTTGGTTAAGGTGATGCATTAGTTGATAAAATTTCTCTTCTTTTTACCCTTTTTGTGAGTTTTCGGTTCTTTTTACAGTCATGGAATTATGTTACTTCTTTCTGTCCCGCTACTTTGAGGTTGTTATATATCAGCTAGCAGATTGAACCTCTTCGTCAGTTTTTTTTAATTCTTTATTGATTGATAAATTTGCACCACAGTTTTGTTCAATCTTCCTCGACATAGTTTAATTGTTAATGTTACATTGTCCATGTAATTCCTTATTAAAGGAAAGAAAAGTAAACAATTTGTAATCATCCCTTGTCGTGGTAGTGAAGCTTGTTAAAGTAATTTACAAAACGGATTACTTTGTTTATACGTTGCCATTGGAAGCACTGGCTCCGTTAACAATCGCTTTCTCTTTTGTTAGTGCGAGTTGGGTAAACTTAACATTCGTGTTAAGAAAAAGGAAAAAGAATATAGTCATATCAGGAAAAAGGAGAAGACTGGAATGCTCGTCCTTTATTCTTTCTTTCATCTCAAAATATCTATCATATTTATCAATGTCTACGGAATAAAGTCATCTCTATATTTTGCTTGGATGCTATTCTGAAACAGCAGAAAGCCTTGGTTTGTCAAGGTTTCTGCTAAAACCAAGTAAACCATTTTGGAGGCAAAATAACATTTGATGTTAAGAGAGTTTCTGAAAGAAGTTAGGAGCCTCGTTTTTTTTTTCTCCTTTTGTGACTGAAATTCATCTATGGAATTCAAGGCTGAGCTTTCCATGAAGATGAAATGTCAGCCACAGCTTCTCCAACAGTGAGATAGACACCTTTCAACCCAAAGGAATCCAAAATATTTGACTGATGCAACTTTTCCATCACATTCCCAACAGGATTTGCCAACACAAGCTGCACCAACGAATTATGAAAATAAGTATTTAAAATAAAACTGATGGAGTCTTTATGGCCTTGTAATATGGTGCGATCCGTATCTATACCTGAAGTGATCTTTTGTCCAGCACCTTCCTAAGTTCACATAGAGTATCGATTCCACTTGTGTCTATGGCTGTAACAGCTGGAGAAAGAAAGTAAGAAATTATTGTTTTCAGTCAAAAGTATCTCAAAACTTGAATAAAAAAACTTCAAGTCAGATGAAATGCATACCCGTCATGTCCAAAATTATACACTTCAATGTACTTTCATTGTTTGCTTTTACTCGTTCTTCCTCTTCTCGAACCCATCTCAGTATCCTAGTGCAGGAAAAGCACTCAAGTGGTTGGAATCTCAGGATCACACAGAAATGAGTAATGATACTATGACATACTTTTACTTTTATTTTGACACAGGTTACAATGGTAAAATAGTCAAAAAAGTGTAAACTTTTGTATTGTTTCAAGAAAGAAGAGAATAAAAATTGAATAAGAGTAGTGTCAAATGAATGTAAAATATTTAGATGTGTCAAAGAATCTTTACTCCTTAGAAATTGCCTCTAAAAAGAGTGTAATGTACCATGACACACTTTTACATTCATTTGACATGTAATGAAAAGTTAAAATGATCATAATAGTGTAAAGTTTTATATTTTTTCGAAGAGAAAATATACTTTGACACACTTCTACACTCATTTGACACATTATTTCTTATTTTTCTATTATAAAAATGAGTAATGATACTATGACAAATTTTTACATTTATTTGACACAGGTTATAAGAGTAAAATGGTTAAAAAAGTGTAAATTTTTGTATTGTCTCAAGAAAGAAGAGAATAAAAAATAAGTAAAGATAGGATCAAATGCATGTAAAATATTTAGGTGTGTCAACAGAATGTTTATTCTATAAAAATCATGTCAAATGAGTGTAACCATTGCCCTTTTTCGAAAAAGAAGAAAGTAAAACAAGAAAAAGCAGTGTGAAATGAATGTAGAAAATTTATGTGTGTGAAAGAATCATTTAAAAAAAAAATCTGACAATCCATATGTCGCTTTATCTAACCTTTCTTGCAGGTACGTTGAATTAGCAAAGTAGATGGGAGACTCAACAGCCAAAATGATAAACGAAGGAATCCTCAAAGCTTCTCTATATTGGTTTAGGTTGTGGAATATTGGCGTCCCCGGTATATTCCCCAAAACCAGTGTGTTTGGCCTAGAGACATGAAGCAAGATCTTGAAGACTGATATTCCCACCTAAAGATTTTGGCCAACCCAGTTATATTAATCACATAGCATCAACACAACATGTATTTTAGGTTTCTAATAACAAGAAACAGATTAAAGTATTCCTAGCTTACCGCTATTCCAAGGCCAAGAGGCACTGAAATGAACAGAACACCGAAAAAGGAGCACAAGCAGGCCAAGAAGTCAAGCTTGTCAACCTTCCACAATTTATATGCAGCTTGATAATCTATTAGCCCTACAACAGCAGTGATTATAATGGCTCCTAAGACTACATTCGGTGTGTAATAGAACAGCGGCATCAGAAACAAAAGGGTCACAAGAACAGCCGATGCCATGATTATATTTGATACTGCTGTCTCTGCCCCAGCATTGAAGTTAACAGCTGATCGAGAAAATGACCCTGCAAATTTATTTTAATGTCAGAATGGACGTTTTCTCAAAAAATTCCACCTCTTCAATAACTTAACTACTGGTAAGTTGTCAGTGACGTGGTCAAATGACAGAAGAATCATTACCTGTTGTGACATAGCATGAAGAACAAGAACCAGCTATGTTCATAAGACCAATGGCCATCATTTCTTTGTTTCCATCCACCTGGTAGTTCTTCAGTGCAGCAAATGTTCTTCCCACTGCAATTCCTTCCTGAAACAGAAGATAATAGCAGTTTAGTTATATGGTGTATTGTTTGTGTGTAAGGAGAGGACCATGTTGTTTACAACATGCAATTTGCAATTTCCTTAATATTTTCTGTGGCCATTATGTTTCTCAGTTTGGGACAACTTACAGTGAGAGACAAAATCCCAGTGACAAGTCCTGTTTTGAGAGCAAGAGCCAAATAAGGACCATTGAAGTATAACATGTTTGATGATGGTGGATTCAGTCCTTTTGGCAATTCACCGATCTGACAGAGAAAAGGATGAACATTATTAGGAACGAAAATAACATTTGAGCATGTTTGTTCAAAAAAATAGAAGGAGAAGTATGCTTTCTTACAATGGCAATTTTATGGGCCTTATTTCTCAGAAGAAATACTAAAATGGTTGACAGAATGACTGATATCAACGGGGCAGCTGCTGAAACCCAGAATAATTTTGGCTTCCTCAAGCTCTGTTGCAATCATTATGAATTTTCAGATCCCAAAAAGTAGCTGAATTGTCTTAGAACAAAGAGTAGTCATCTATGTATATGTGCATTCGAGATATAGAATCTTACAATGTGCCTTGTTGTCAACAGGAATAGCAGGAAACTGAATCCCAGCAGAAGGTTTTGCCATGACCACTGCACAAGTTGCTCAAAAAATTCAGTGAGCATATACATAATCACACTTACTGGGACCAATATGAAATTTAATTTTCATTTAGAACTTGTACAGTATAACGGTCCGATCAGTCCAAAAACCAGGCAATCAACCAGCCTATGGTCTCATGTCAGCCGGTCAACTAAAATAGAATTAGTGTTAAGGATAATTATATTAATCTTAAGCTAGACTATTACTGTTTGAGCCGTAATTAAGTCAGTACTGATCAGAAGTTCATCCCAAATTCTATAAGTAAACGTTTGTGATATTCTAATAATTGGTTACGTTGATTTCACATTTATTGTTAATATCATCGGCATGTGCTAACTTTAGTACGAGAATGTTTTCTGCATGTAGCATCTCCGTTCGACCGAATTTCACACTAACGTGAAATGAAGAAAGAACCTTAACCCAAGAAGAATTTAGAAACAGTTTGGAGAAATAAACTTAACCTCAATTCCTTGAATCGAATCCCTTAATTGCCTAGCTATTCATTCCATTTTTCCTTTCATGATATGATTAGAAGGAAGAAAGTTTTAGTTTAATAAATAGTTGGAATCTAATCCTTAATATAAAAGTCAAAGAAGAGAATATATATACATATATTTATATATATATACACACACGAATAACTGGTTTTCAATTACCAATCTCAATTCAATGATAGTGTCAATGCTTATTTCTTAAAACAGAATCAGTGCTATCAGAATGCTTTACGGTGGGGATTTTATTTTGTTTTGTTTCAAAGCTGCTTTACTTTGCCAACCATTTAAAATATGAAAAACAGTAACTGCAATATATATATAAAAAAAAAAACTTGTGGCCGTCCTTTTAAAAAATAGTATTTCCATTTGAACTTATATTATTACAAAATCGGAGTAAAACTAGAATAAAGTATCAGTATCCAACTTTACCTCTTCTCTTTGCTTGAAAACAGAGATAAGCACAGGCGTTATTTGCATCTTGTTGGTGAAATGAACTATTCCAAGCAACCCTTTCAGCTGCTGCAGTGACACAATAATCGCTGCACCAGCCATGAAACCTACCAGAGTTGCCTTTGAGAGAAAATCAATCACAAAGCCTAACCTGAAAGGATCATCAAAGGCTTTTATCAGTCATAAAATACTGCTAGCCAAATATCATTCACCATAAGCCATATATCCCTTGAAGTTGATATATTAAATTTAAGTGAAAAAATCCACAATTAAAAGCTAAACCATGATTTAATACCTTAATATACCCAGAGAAGATTGGAACAAACCAGCAAAAAAAGTGGCAGTGAAAGCCATTTTGAGATAGAGAATAGGATCTTGAGTATAAGATATTGTCTCTGTTAACATTGATCCCATGACTAAAGATGCAATTGAAACTGGACCAACACCCAGATGTCTAGAACTCCCAAGCAAGGAATATATCAACGGAGGCACAAAACTAGAATCTGCACAATATTCACACCACTTGAAACATTACTCACACATCATCATTGATCATATACACATCTACTACCACAAGAACTCAATGACATGCACAAACAAAGGGTACTGACATAATCCAAGAATGGGTGGCAAGTTTGCTAGCTTAGCATAGCTGATACCCTGCACACAAAAAACTCAAACTTAAACATACTTCTAAGAAACATGCACCAAGTATTATGAATCATTACACAATCCAAAATAGCCCCTTATCAATGATCTCAGAAACTCTTCACATGACACTCCACAGAGCTTTTCAATTTTCAAGACAAAATTTAATAAAACTCGGTTACATGTTGCGTGAAGATTGTTTGTCAGGTAATTCAGTTCCAGACTACATGGTCTGTATAAACTCTGACATGAAACAAAGTTTTCCATTCAGAAAACTCGTCCAACCCTGTTTGACTTTTGATCATGTAATAACTTTTGAATACTGCTAGATAGAAAAAAAGTGAGACCTGAGGAATGGCGAGGCTTGCAATGGTGAGACCTGAGATCATGTCAGAGCGGAGAAGAGAAAGGTTGTAGAGAGGGGCCCATTGGAAAATGGGGAAGAGGTATTGGAGAGCAAGGAGAAGTTTCATGAAGCAAGTTTGGTTCTTGAACCTGTGAAGAGGGTCATCTGGGAAGAAGATCTCAGAGAGTCTGTGTCTCAGTTTCTGCAAGGTGGTTCGTTCTGGTGGCAGCTGAACCTTGTGGATTTCCATGGCTGGCACTGGCATTGCCATTTCTGTATCACTTTGGATCTTCATGCTGCAGCCATTGTTGCATGCTATGTCCTCTACTCTGTTAAAGTTTACACCCATTATTGCTCAGTTTTCTCTTAGCAAAAAACACAGAGAAGCTATGAATTTATAGAGGCAGAGAAACCATGGCATCAACTCACCATAGGGTATCTGTCGTTATCCAAATTCCCGCTATTGGAATATGCTGATTTCTCTTCTTCAACCACTTCTCATACAACAAAGAATAACTAGTAATACACTTTTTTACCATGCTTTTATCTTCTGTTAAAAATATAATCACACTCCAATAACATAAAAAATTCTGCATTATTCTTCCATTAAATGCTTAGTGTGGTAAATCATTATGGAGGAAATGTTTCTTTTATCTGTAGTCTCTCTGGAAATTCATAAAAAAAATGGCATTGTTTCGGTTATTTTCATTATGCAGAAAGTATGTGTATATGCAGACTTTAAAACATGCATTTAGAATTTACGTACTTAGTGTATAAATTTAAAGCACTAATTAATCAGCTTCATGTTAATTCATTTATACATGTGAGATTATACTATAAACTCTGAAATTACTAAAATTTTAATTACATATTTATAGAAGTATTGAATAAAAATTAATTGCTTATATGTTATTGACAAAGTCAACACTTTTGAAATATTAATGTATTGAATATTTTGTATTTAATGAATATGACAATGTTGTATAGTAATTTTAAAACAATTTTGTACTGTATGATCGTGGATCGAGTGGTCGACCATCTAGTAGGGAACCTACCAATCCATAAGAGTCATTAACTGGTAATTAATCTGGACAATAATACCTAGGCAGTTAAGGAAAATAATAGCAATTTATTGATGATTAATGAGTCAAACCTAATGATAAGCTTATTAAAATATTTATAAATATATCTCTTATGAAAAAACGCAGGTAATTTTAACTCTGATTACTCATTCTTATTATAAAATTTATAGAGTAAATCACTCACTTGAGCGTTAGAGTGTCTTCTGCATACACTCTCCCCGCGGCTAGGACAAGGAGAAAAGAGAGAATAGCGCAACTGGATGATGGAGCGGACAACTTTGAATGCTTTGGGTTAAGGATCTCAACCTTACTGAAACAATTTTAAAATGTTTTAGTTTTTTCTATATAAGTGTTAAGTACAAGATATATCTTATTACGATGATTTTACGTCAAAATATTGTAATTGTTATGGTTTACCTAATAGAATAATTAAGGAAAATTAGAATTCATTTTTCACACCTTTTTTATTTTCGATTTTAAGTTAGTTGAGATAACATAGTTAGTTTCATCATAATTTTGTAATTAAAAGGCATATAAAAAGGTAAGAGAGAAAAATGTATTTTTACTTTTTTTTGTGTCAATTTTTAAGCTGTGTACATTGTAACAAACTTTCGCTCAAGATCTATGAGGAATGAAAGGTCTTTGTAATTACTTTTCATTCCTTCTTTAACTTTTTAAGATTTCTTTTAAAAATAAAATTGTGACAAAGTTTCATACTCTAAAGAAGATAATGTATAAGATGAGGTCATATAAGTTTCAAAAAGGACAATATCTTCTAGGTGGTGATTGACTCTAATAATGATATTTTACTAGACTCAGGTCTCAATATTAGTGTCGTCTATGAAAATGAAAAAGAGGTTTCAAATATGAACATTTGCTCCTTCAACCTTGAGTGAAGAAAATGGAAAAGTGAGTTCAAAAATGAACTTTAATTCTATTTAGACTTTATTGAAACTTGTTCTAATACATTTAATAATTTTAAATCTTTTAGAAGTCAGCGTCAAATACAAATCTCTTAATATCGTTTTTAAAGTTAAATTGTGATGAAACTTAATGTGAAAACTATTTTTGATGCAATGATTAAGTTTAATAATACTAATTCAACATACTTAATGTTAGAACAATAACTTTTAATTCAGAAAACCTTTTTCTCTTAATTAAATTCAAAACTTTGTATGAAAATATCGATTCCAATTTGTTTGGATGCAACTATACATAGATAATGCTTGAACTTAAAGAACCTAATCAACAATTTTCATTTATTTTATTTTAGTGTCTAATATAAACGTTCTCTTAAATACAGGCCACTTACCAAGTACCATTATCATAAATTTTGAAGTTGGTGTGCAGCTAGTCTCTTAACTTTCACACCAATAATATTTCCATTTCTGTTTAATTTATAGACGAAATGAGATGAAATATAAGGACGTTGGTTTTATTATCCAAACAAAACTAATAATTTCCACTCTTCTATATTTTTGAGAAAGATAGGTAAGTTTTTGTTTATTTTTTTATAATTAAAAATTTGTAAGAACATCTTGAAAGTCAAAGATCTTAATTTTGAAACCTAAGTCTTATAAAAACATTAAAATTAAAAATTTTGATTTTATGTAAGATCTTAAGTATTAAGAACAACACCTAATAACTAAAAAAGTTTATAATGTAAAAAATTGAAGTGCGAATAAAAATTATAAAAATGTAAGCTTTTATTACCGTGAATAGAGTTTAAAGAATCTACCAGATTAGCATACCAAATAAACATGGACGAAGAATGAAAAATGTTAGCCTAATTAATATTCTCTCGATTTCTGCTCCAAATTTAGTCACCAATTATAACTTATTCGTTTGTTTTTCAAAAATAAATTAATTTGTTACCATAACTTCAACTTATTTATTAAATTAGGTTAACTGCAGGTTTATATTTAGTAAACATAGTGATATAATATTTAATGTAGAATATGTATGGTTCATTAATGTTATTTTTCTTTATTTAAAAAAAATGGAGTACCAAAATTAATTTTGTTAATCAAGTTATAAAATTTCAGCTAAACAATTTCAAATAGTTATAAAGTTTTTTAGGTGACTATAGAAATGCATATACAGATTAATCTCATGCATAAATTTAAGAATAAAAAATGTATTAGTAGTGATATAACACAATGAAAGAGCCAAACTTGTATACAAAACGAAAATAAAATATACTAAAATGAGGAAGTGACGCTATCAAGTGTTTTAATACTTGAAATATAAAAACTTGAAATGGTCACTCATCATCATCATCACGACCACCTTTGATGGACTGGAACAATCAACTTATTACCTATGAAAATGTTGGTTTAACCATGTTTGGAAATTCTTAAAAAGCAATGGTGTTGGCAAGTTGGTTGGTGTGATGGGCAAACATAGCTAGAGTGAAAAACGAGGTTAAAGAAGCTTTTTGGTGTTAGTGAGAAAGCACTTAAATTAAGAAGGTATAGAAGTAAATTGAAGGGACCAGAGAAAGACAGCACAGAAAAGAGAGACAGATTACCAAGTAAAGAAGATAAAGAAACCCTAGACATGGAAATCACTCTGTTCTAAAAAACTAGAGGTATATTTAACTTAATATATATAACTTTAACCTAATACATCTCATGTTTTTTTAAATATAATGAAATAAACAAGAATCAATCCAAAAAAGAATAAAAATTAATAATTTGAAGGAACGTTTGACATGAAAAAACTTTTTATTGAAACCAAAATATAAGAATATTTTATTCTTTTTAAAGTATATGATATATATACATATATATATATATATATATATATATATATATATATATATATATATATATATATATATATATATATATATAAAGTTCGATTTACATAACAAATTAACATTACTTGTAATAAAAAAAATTTAAATTAACACTATTTTTAATAAAAAAATCACAAAATATTAGATTTATGTGTCTTTTTTATATATAATTTCTAATTAATATAAGACTTGTACTTACACTTAAATTATTTTTAATCGTATAAAATAATTTTTACTTTTTTTAAATAAATTTTAATAAAATAATTCCGTTACATGCACAAATTTAAAATATTTTAGAGATTATTTCAATTATATAAAACACATTGTTATAAATAATTGCATTAAGTTTAACTCAATGTTTAAATACGTATATTTTGTGTATGAGATTAAATATTTGTATATCTAATAAGCTTGAATAAACTCTGATCATATATTAAAAAATGGGTTAAAGTTTAATAATTAATCTTACAAAATAAATTTGTAATATAAGTTCTGCTTATATAACTAGTAAGAACGGTAATATATTTTATTGATTTGTGAAAAATTGATTAAAATTATTCCTAATAAAAAGTTTATAACTAAAATTACTTTTTACGTATTTATAGTTATATATGTCGAAAATAATGTATCACATTATTATATAATAAAGTAATTTAATATTTATTTTCTTTATTAGTTACAAACAAATCTTTACTATTAAATCGTTTTCTTGCATAAATCAGTGTATTGTTTATTTTTTATATTAAAAATTATATTAAGACATACTCACACCTATCTTACATCTAATGATTCTCATTGTTGATTTAGTTACAATTTTTTTTTTCTTCAATCTCAAGATACATTTCTAATTAAAATATGAAAAAAAGTTTAATTTAAATATGATCTAAAATTATATTAAATTTCAAATACAATCTAAAATCACAAAAATACAATACAAATCAAATAAATTTAGAGACAAGAGCATTTAGGGTTTTTGTTTTTTTAATAAAATTTAATATTTAAAGTTTATGATGGATTGGTGAAGCAATTTAACTCTAAACGAGTTTAACCTGAATAAGTGAAATTCTTAATGAAGTGAATTTATTTTTTTTTCGTGTCGAAATTTATAATTCTTTTAATTTAATCCAACTTAAACTTGTAGTAAATTGAAAGTTAATTTGCAAGTTTTAACTAATTTTGATATCTCTACTTATAATAATGCTATACGTTTTCTCATACGAAGAACAATAATCTTTTGTTGTTATTTTTGGTAATTAGGGTTTAAACTTTATACAAATAAAAGGTTTTTAATTAATTGTGAACCCTTGGATGCACTGAAGAAGCAACTAACGCTAAAACCAGCTTCCTTTTGGCTCTCATAATAAGACAAGTGCATGTAAGGAAATGTAGCCACAACATTACTTTAGAATCCAATTATGCGGTTATATACAAACCAAGAACAAATTCTCCAAATTCTACGGATGTTATTTAAG